GGAGGAGGAGGAGGAGGAGGAGGAGGAGGGATGCAAAACGCCTCGTGGCTAGTCCCAGAAGAGAGGAAATAACATGGAGGCCTTAGGTAAAATATTTTCAAATCTTACTCTGGAAGAGTAACAGAGGAACTGAAATGAAGCTGAGTGGATAGGATGCAAGTCGGATTTGGTTCACTCCCCATCACAGTACATCCTGCAGGGCTGGGGACTCTTTCCTTCCTCCGATGACTTTTGGGACCGGCCACATCCCCCGGCAGCCATTTGGGGAACGGCTATGACTATAAAGCCTAATGCCGCCTTCTCTGGCCCGCTCCAATTCTGGCTGCACCCTAGACAGAAAGCAAGCCTGGGACTTGCTCCACGTTCCTCTCCATCTCAACTTCTTCTGAGCAGCCACTGTCAGGAGCAAAGAACACACTCGCTGCTGGCAGGGCCGACTGCCCCCTTCTGAGCTGCTGCCTGCATTCTGCCTGGCACTGACCAGCCAGCCGGCCTTGGTACAGCATGAGAAAACGGCTCAGCATTATGGGGCGCCTTCTTGGGTTGCTTGAGGCAGACTTTTCACCCCACCTGAGCCACCAACAAGCCTGGTGCCTGCCCTCCGTGAACGGCTGCTGGATGGTGATCTAAACCGCAGGCAGAAAAGGACGTTTTGTCCCCCCCCCCTCCACCCCCACCAGAGTTGGGCTTCCCTCCTCCGGCCGTGTCACACCCCAGGGTGTTGGCTCTTGTAGGTGAGGATTTCAACAGCCAGCTGCTGAGGGTCCAAGAGGTGTGGGAAGCGGTTCATGACGGTGTCCACCAGGTGAGGATGGAAGATCCCACATAGCTTGACGTGCACTTGGGCACGCTCTTCTGCAAAACTTTCCAGGTTGGCCCAGTGGCGTGAGGAGTCCTCGTAGGCAAGGCAGGGAGCCCTGGGCAGCTCTTGGCGCACTGCAGGCCCCGGATGGTACGGCTCGGACCAGTACTCGCGCCCAGGGCCCAGAGAAGCACTGCTGGCCACGTCGTAGCCAGAAAACGAGTGAGGAGCAACCTGTCCAGATGGGGAGGGCAGGAAGCTCTGAGGCAGGTACTGGCCGTACCTGCTGCATTCCGGGCCAGGAGGGACCCGATAGGCAGGTACCTGCCCCCTGCAGCTGCTCCCCCCAAGCCGCTCTTGCTGGGCCCCCTTGACAGGACTAGCCGAGGGGCTGGGCCACATTTCAGAGAGCTGGCTCTCAAGGGAGCCGATGCCCGAGTCAAGGCGGTCCTGGGCAAGGGAGTCCCTGGAAGGCAGCTGGTACTGATCTGAACTCCTGTAACTGTGGCTCTTCTGGGCTGGCATGCCCTGGGCATTGAGGAAGAAGGGGGGCACATCGCCATGCCTAATGTGACGGGCAGAGCTCGTCTTCTCCGCCAAGGCCTTCTGCAGGGGGACTTTCTCACCCTCCGCAGCTGCAGAGCCCCAGAACTCCCCATGGGGGGGCCTCCAGCTCCTCCTCTCCTCCTTGGTGGTTGGCGCAGCCCTGGTGGGGGAGAGCCTGGCGTTGGCCCGGAGCTCATCGGCAACGGAGCGCTGCAGTTGCTGCGGCCGCTCCGGGTGGTAGAACTTGCACTTGATGCCATAGGTGCACTTCTTGCCTGCAAAGAGAAAGGTGAGCTGCGTTGACGGGTGTCCACCGCCCCAAGCCCTTGAAGCTGCTCTGTCCCAAGCAGGGGAGAGTGGCCTCACCATATGGGCACTGCTGCTTCTTGTGCTCGGGCACGGCTGGCGTCTTCCTCAGGAAATTATCCAGGCTGGGTCCATGGCGCCCCAGGGGGTCATCGGGAGGCATGAACCTGGGGAGCAGAGGAACCATGCCCATCAAGAGCTACAGACCCCGAGGCCAGGCCTAGTCCTTCCCCCTTTGCCAGGGCAACGGTGTGTGCCACAATGCTGGGAGTCCCAGCTGGCTAGACGTGAGCAACCCGGTGGGCAGAGATTCAAGATTCTGCTGGGCATGGGGTCAGTTTCCGACTCAAGCTGAAGAAGCCGTCAGGCTGCGAATGAGAAGGGCGCTTCCTAGCCAGGAACTTCATGTCCCAGAATTCTCAGCCATAGCCTTAGGGGCTTATTCTTCACCCCCCAAAACCCTGGTCAGCCTCCAGCCTTCCCCAAGGCCAGGGGTAGGCAACCTTGGCTCTTTTATGACTCGTGGACTTCAACTCCCAGAACTCCTGAGCCAGCCATGCTGAGGGGACAGGGAGAGGTTTCCAAGCTGAGCTGTGATGGCTGAGGAATTCTGGGAGTTGAAGTCCGCAAGTCATGAAGGGGCCATAGTTCCCCCATGCTGGCTCAGGAATTCTGGGAGTTGGAAGTCCAGGAGTCGTAAAAGATCCAAGGTGGCCTACCCCTGCCCAAGGCCAAGGACTTACTTGTCATTGACAAAGGAATACATAAGCAAGCGATCTTCAATGAACTTCTTCCACTCTGGCCGTTCTGCCTGCAGATCCCGATAGACGTCGTTGGAAACCACGATGCCGTCCGACTCCCAGGCCAGCTTCACAATGAAGCGGTCATCGTAGCAGACCACCCGCTTGCCCGCCACTCGCCGGGAAGGAGTAAAGACGAGAATGTTCTTCTTCTCGAGGTCATGGAGGATGTGCTGGTCTGCAGGAAGAGGTGGTGAAGTCCAGGCTTCTTACAGAGGAAAAATCAGGTGAACCAAGCTTGGGGTGCTCCAGATACCCCCTTGGCAGGAAGAGGCCCTTGGCTGATCTCAATGAGTGGCCTCCCAAATCATTTCCTTCCTTTATGCTGTTCTTTCTTGTTTGCCTAGACCAGGGGTAGGCAACCTCGGCTCTTTTATGACTCGTGGACTTCAACTCCCAGAATTCCTGAGTCAGCATAGCTGACTCAGGAATTCTGGGAGTTGAAGTCCACGAGTCATAAAAGAGCTGAGGTTGCCTATCCCTGGCCTAGACCGTACTCTTCCTCTTCCTCCATATTCTCTTCTCGGTGCTGCCTCCCACAGCTTTGCCTTTTATTTAAGTGTCTAAACGAGATTACGCTTTAGAGCAGAGATCTCCAACCTTGGCAACCTTAAGACTTGTGGACTTCAACTCCCAGAAGAGCTGGCGGAGGAATTCTGGGACTTGAAGTTCACAAGTCTTAAGGTTGCCAAGGTTGGAGACCCCTGCTTTAGAAGGTCAAGAATACAAACCAATCCCCTAAAAATGCTATATATATATATATATTTATATATATTTAAAGTGCAAACGTAATTTTTGCCATTAGAAGCTGCTCTCTGGCAGCACACCTGTCAAGTGTTCAGGTGACTCTAGACAGATTTCCAGAAAGAGGGCTGCCTATCTGGATAGCCCCTCTCCCCCCATGGCCTTCCTGGTGCTTTGGCCAGCAGCAAAATTAGGTGAGCGGCCTCTTAAAGCCACTGAGAAGTAAAGGTCCCACCAGAGGGATGAGAAGGGACATGTCCCATCCCAGTCAAGTGTTCCCCCCACCCATCCTGAGGAAGCAGCACAGGGGCCCGCCACTAAGCCTCCGCCAATATTTGGTGGGCATCTGCTGGAGGCCGCCTTGTTACCTGTAATGGCGGCATCAGAGCGTGGCTGCTCTTTTCTCCAAGATGGGACGAAGACCGTGACGTCCTTGTGTCCTCGATCCAAAAACCAGGTCACAGCCAGCAGGATGCCTCGGCAGGAGAAGGTGTCTTTGTCTCCATGGCTGCAAATAGAAGAGAACTGCAGGCTCAGAGGCTTCCCCTGCTCGGCCCCGTGCGCTGGCATCGAAGAGGCCATGCGCAGCCCTAGGTGAGGACACACACTTCCAGAGTTTTTGACTTGTCACGGTTCCCTGCCCTTCTGCTATTCGCAAGCAAGCCAATGGAGAGAGAGCTGGGCCCAAACTCAACGATGCCAGAAAATTGACTCTGATTGGAACAGAATAACGAAGTAACAGATTGGAAGGGACCTTGGAGGTCCTCTAGTCCAACCCCCTGCTCGAGCAGGAGACCCTACACCATTTCAGGCAAATGGCTGTCCAGTCTCTTTTTGAAAACTTCTGAAGGCAAGCTGTTCCACTGATTAATTGTCCTCACTGTTAAGAAATTTCTCCTTAGTTCTAAGTTAAATCTCTCCTTGATTAGTTTCCATCCGTTGCTTCTTGTCCTGCCTTCAGGTGCTTTGGAGAATAGGGTGCCCCCCCTCTTCTTTGGGGCAGCCCCTGAGATATTGGAAGACTGCTATCATGTCCCCCCTCGTCCTTCTTTTCACTAGTCCAGGCGTACCTAATTCCAAATGTCTCAAATGGATGAGAAACCTGCAGGGAAAACACTGCATTCTTGAAAAATGACTGTGGCCTTGGTCATGTACAGAGAGGCAGCTCTCACCTCTACCTACCTGTTCTGGGCCTCTCCCTCCTCTTCAGCCTGGAGGGGCTGTTCTGCTGACCCCCCTCCCTCCCTGGCCTGTCTTCAAGATGCTTGGGTTTTTATATTATTATTATTATTATTATTATTATTATTATTATTATTATTATTATTATTATTATTATTATTATTATTATTATTATTATTATTATTATTATTATTATTATTATTATTTCTTCTGCAGCTTCCTGCCTCTCTTCCCAGGTGCCAAGATCTTCTCTTGGTGACAGAGGTATTGGCCCTCTCTCCTTGGGGCTCCTGCTAAACCCCAGGGGAGACCAGGGTGCTGGGGGAGCACCCATTGTAAATTTTTGCTAGGAAGCACCCACCCATTTGCCTTTCAGCTGGTCACTGAGAAATATGTGGATATAAGGAAGGCAGCTTATTCTACTTTCAATTATTTATGATTCAGAGCAGCATAATGTCATGAATAGGCTTGCATTATGGGGTGTTTTAGGAGGACGCAGAGGGAGGGCCTGCCTATGGAATGCACTAAGAACAACAAAGCGTGGCTGAGAATCAAGGGAAGTGGCTCAGCACTGGCAGAAGGGCTTTCCACGTGGGAAACGTGCAAGGTGTCCTTGTGGTGGCTTTGGAGGTGTGTGTTAGCTGGAGATTATATTTTTCAAGGCTGGGAGCCTGAACTATTTGCAGCAAATGTTCAGAGAGGTAAATGTGAGTAGAAAATGGGCGGCCTTATTACAGTGTGTTCTCACTGAAAGAGCGAATAAAGATGGAACTTGAAAACAAATATTGGAAGGAAGAGGCAGGATCCTGAGAAAAAAAGGAAAGCAGTTGTCGGATAGTGAGATGGGTGAGATTCTTAAGAAGAATGAGAGAGACGTTTGAGGCGAAGAAGGCAACGTGCCAGGGGGTCTATTGGCAAACTAGAAAGAAATGGAAAAGTATCAGCAGATGGTGTTGACACAGAGGAGTTTGATTTCCTTCCTTCTTTCTCTTTATCGCCTGCTTTTAATTGCCCTCGCTCTCCTATTTCTCACCCACTTTTGCATCATGTCACTTAATCCAAAAGACGGTATTGTGTTGGTCAATGAAACTGACCTTTCCTCCCAGTGTTTCTCAACCTAGACAATTTTAAGGCATGTGGACTTCAACTCCCAGAATTCCACAGCCAGCAACACTGGCTGTGGAATTCTGGGAGTTGAAGTCCACATGCCTTAAAATTGTCAAGGTTGAGAAACACTGCGGAGTCCAAGCAAATACAGCTTCATTTCTCAGTACTTCTGCTAATTACTTGGGGGAAGGGCTGAAGACTCACCCTCAGGAGCCTCCAAATTCTCCAGGACTCCCCAAAGACCCTCTTCTGCCAAAGAAATGCCTTGTCCCTCTCTGCCCCAGAGAAGGGAACTCCAAAGCTCCTCTAGACACCCCCCAGTTTCTGCCCACTCAGCCTGACAGCGCTCAAGTCCTTGTGCATTTGTGCAGTTTTACTTTCAGCAGTCCGACCTAAATGGCCCTCCTCGTCAACAACTCGCATTCCTGTCTCCTTGCCAACTGAAAACAATGGCCCTGCAATTTAAAAAATTAAGAGCTGTGCTGAAACGAGCGTTTCCGGGAAGGTACAATGAGCAGCTGGTTATGCAGTTTGACAGGGCTGGGCCTGGTTGCAGCGGGTCCTACCCTGCACGGCCTCCGAAAGTGACCCTCCCCTCTCCCAGCCCTGCAGCTCTCCTTACTCAAATCCCTCATCTGGAAACAGGAGTTAATGTTCAGTGTTGGCATTAATAAGACAGCCAAAGCAGTAGAGCAAAGAAAGCTGTGAACAGCAGAAAAGAGGGCTGCCAACTGGTGGAGCTGGCACAAGAACTAGGCCTGGCATGGGGGAACTTTTCCCTGACCTTTCCCCCCCCCCCTTCAAGGTGGAAGGCCGGCCATCAGCTGTACTGCCAGGAAGGGGTTTTTTTCCCCCCCAGCTAAAGCTTCAGGGCTATCTTGATTCACACAGAGCCAGCTCTGCAAGTCCGTTTAAACCAGGGAACCGGAAGGGCTTTCTCTGAGCATGGGCAGAGTGGCTGCCTTCTTGTTAAAGCAGCTCCTGTGGTAAGACCAAACCTTGCACATCGCCAGTCCCCATGATGGGTCTCAGGGTTATCCCGGTCACGTTCAAAACTCCTTGCAGCTTCATCCAAAGGAAGAACCCCTTTCCCTTCACGTGCCCACCACCCTCTTTCTCACACAACCCAAAGCTCCTACTTCCTACGCAAAAGCCCTAAGCGAGACTGAAGCGCCAAGCGGGATGAGCAAGGAATGCCAAGGACAGATCTCCTCCAGCGTTTCCCCATCCTCAACTGAAAAGGGTCCAAGTAGTTCATCCGATGTGGCAACAAGACGTGAGAAATTCCCGTAGAAGGAAGTCAGGGAGAATTCTGCTCCACACACACCCCTCCAGGATTTGCATAAACCTGCCACAGACTATTATCCAAGCAAGGGTGAATCGGTGAGGAACAGTTTGTCACTGCACTACATGCAGGAAGCAGTCTGTAAAAATTCCCCTTTGTTTTTTGTTTTTTTTGTTTTCCTCGAAAAGAGATTGCTCAGAAACTCCGTCTCTGCTGCTGCTGCTCCGGGCACCACTCAGAACCCCCACTGGTGCCCCCTCCCTCTCAACAGAAAGTGCCCTCTGGCCGGCATTTACAGCCGGAGAGCAATTTGGCTTATCTTAAACACAGCAAGGAAATGGCAGAAGTCTCTAAATGCTGGCTGGCCTCTCCCTGCTGTGCAGGCTACCAAGCCTGGGCTGCTAAGAGCAGAATTAGGACTGGCTTTGTCTTTTTCTTGCCATCTGGCGGCGGTCCAGACTTTTGCAGCCCCACCAGCTTCAGTGGTTAACCCAGCGGACGGCACGGCTAGGGAAAGGGGACCAGGAATGGCATCTTCCCGCCTCCTCAAGTGCAAATCCCCCACTTAAGCAGCTATTGCTCAGGCTAAATCTTCATGGATCCTTGTCCTGTCATGTACAGGTAGTCCTCAAGGTACAACAGTCCATTTCGTGACCATTCAAAGATACAACAACACTGAAAAAAGTGACTTGCGATCCTTTTTCACCCTTACGTCCATTGCAGCATCCCTATGGTTGCGGGATCAAAATTCGGACGTTTGCCAAGCAGCACGTATTTATCATGGACGCAGCTTCCCAGGGTCACGTGATCACCTTTCAGGGCCTCCTGAGAAGCAAAGTCGATGGGGAATCCAAATTCACTTAACAACTATGCTACTAACTTGAAAACTGCAGTGACCCACTTAACAACCTTGGCAAGAAAGGTTGTAAAATGGGGCAAATCTCGCTTAAAAACTGTCTCACTTAGCAAAAAAAAATTGGGGCTCAATTGTCAAGGACCACACGTTGTTTAGAATGCTGGGAGATGGAAAAGTTGTAGGAAGAAAACCTTCCACCTAAAAACTAAAATGTTTCCCCCATGGACGAGAGAGTTCCCTTCACAGGCTGCCCCCCCCTCTCCCCCAGGACAGGTGGAGGAGCTTCATCCTGACTTCATCCTGGGCCCTCAGCCCTTCTTTCCAATTCTGGCACGAGGAAGCTTCCAGCATGCAATAAGGGCCACAACCGGCTGTGCCCAGAGCTTCCCTCCTCTAGGCTGAGGCAACTCGGATGGGGCCTCAGCCCTTTCAGTCCCCACGGAGAGGCCAGTGGATGGGGGGGGGAGGGGGAGGCACCTCTGGAGGAAGAGAGAAATGCTCCCCCAGGCACTGGTGCGTCATGCGCCTTTAACCTGCGCTGGGTTCCTTCCTGTTTAGATAAGGAAGAATGTTTGCTCGACAGAGCCAAAGCAGCAGAAAAGCACAGCTACCCCAGCCAGGAGGATGCCCACCCGCTCCCCCCCCTCCTGGCAAAATCCTTCCTGCTTCAGAGACAGAGGGAACTGCAGGGGGTCCCAAGCAGACCCCTGACATGCCACAAAGGCAAGGATACACCCTGCCCAAAGCCCACCTGTCAAATCTCATCTAATCACGTTAGGATAGGAGATAGGATAGGATAGAAGCTGGAAGGGACCTTGGAGGTCTTCTAGTCCAGCCACATAGTCCAGCTTTATAGCATTATCAAAATCCAGCAATCAACCATTATTAAATTCCCAAGAAGATTCCCAGCTGTAGGGTTAAGAAGATAGGAGGAAGCCAAAGGCAGGTCCACCTTCTCCCAGGCCCATCTCCATTGTTTGTTTGTATGTGTGTATCTCTCTCTCTCTGCCGGTCTGTGCCTGGAAGCAGCTCATTTGGGAGGATTTCACCTCTCTGGAGAGCAGCCCGCCCAGACGTACCTCATGGCCACGTTGCTCCCATCGATCACGATCGGGCGCAGGTGATCCCCCTCCTGCTCTTCCGGAGGCGCAGGCTGGGCCGGGGGGCTGCCGGGGGCGGGCCGCGCCCTCGGGACGGGCGGCGCCTCGGGGCCCTCCGCCGCCGCCCCCTGCGCCGGCTCCCTCTCGCCCGGGGCCGCCCCGTGCTTGACCAGCTCCCCGAGGATGGTGTTGGTGTCCGCCTCCGGGCCGTGCTTCTGCAGGGCGCCCAGCACCTCCTGCGAGGAGTAGCCCAGCTTGCGGAAGAACTCCACCTTCCGCCGCCTCTCCGCCCGGCCCTGCTCCGGGGGGCTCCACGGGCCGGGCTCGGCCCCGCCGGGCTCTCCGCCGCCCTCCAGGCTGCAGCCGCCGCACAGGCTCAGGTAACCGCTTTCCGGCGACTCTTCCCGGCCGTGGCCGGCGAAGGGCAGCGGGGGCTCGCTCCAGCCGGGGAAGCGCAGGGCGCTGGGCGGCCGTCGGTCCAGGTCCATGGCGGCTCCTCGGGCGCTGCTCCTCGCTCAGCGCTTGCCTGCCGAGAGAAGCGCGTAACTAACACGGCGGCCCGGCTAGGGAGCCACGCGCGCTCGCGGGCCGGGCCGTCCCGAGCCCCTCCCTCCCGCCCTCCGAAGAGGGGAACCGGCCGCCGGCCCAGCCGAGAGCGGCGCTCCGCCAGCAGGCCCGGCAGGAAGCGGCGGAGGGCGCGGTGCTTGCCCGACACGCGGCGCCCGACCGGGCTTCCCGAAGCGCGGCTGGGCAGGGAGCGGCGCCCGCGCCGGGATCGGAGCGGGGCTTTGGGACCAGCGCCCTGCCGACTCGCGCGGAGGGAAACCCCGCCATCCCCGAGCCGCCCCGTCGCTTACCGGGCGCCTCCATGGGGCCGAAGTGTCCCCGTCCGCGCGCGGCCGCCTCTTTATAGGGAGGCGAAGGCTCGCCGGGTGGAGTCTCCGCCGCCGCCCCCTGCGCCGCCTCCTCCGGGCTCGTCGGGGGAAGGTCTCCGCGGGAGAGACGCGGCGGGCGGGGCCGGGGGTGGTCGGGGCCGCGGGCGGGTTGCTTCACGGGGTTGTTGGGAGCGCTGGATTGCGAGGGACGCGGGGCCCGGAGCTCCCGTCGGCGGCTCCTCTCGCCTCGGCCTCGGCCTCCCAGGGGCTTGAAACGGCCGAGCGGGGAGTTTGCCTGCCTCTCTCAACCGCAAGACCGAAGGCCGCCTTCAAGCAGGGCCGCTTCAGTCCCGGGGAGGGGCCGCACCCTCGGGGGCCCCGTCTGAAGGAGCCGCCTGGCCGCGCAGCGCCCCGAAAGCGCTCCGGAGCAGCCGCCTCGCAGGGCAGGACGGCGCTCGGCTCCTTCCGCCGAGCAGCCCCGGCAAAGCGGCGCGTCCCCGGGGGGATCTCTAGCCCTGGCAGCTCCGCGGTGGCAATTCCGGTTTAGCCACCGGCAAATGAGCTCTCCGGGGCCGGGACGAGACCGCTTCTGGAGGCGGCACGTCGGGGGCAGCCCAACAGCTGAACCGGGCTATCCGGCCTCGCCTTCCGACTCGGACCGCCCGCCGGACCCGATCTCTGTCCAGGCCAAGGTTGCCCACCCCTTGGGGGGCGGCGACGGGTTGCGGCGCTCCCGCCTCCGCCCGCCCGGGATTGGCCGCTCCAGCATCGGGCGGTGGCGCAACAGCCCGGGAAGGCGGGGCTTCTCGGAGGACACCCGCCCCCTCTATGCAAAGCAGGGCGCCCGAGGCCGGGGAAGAGTCGCCTGCCGGGCCGGAAAGGGGCTCCCCGGGGAAGAGCGGCGCCCGCTTCCTGGTTTCGCTGGAGCCTTGGCGCCCGGGCCTTGGGCGGTGGGAGTCAGGGCAGTGGCCGGTTGCTTCCCCGGAGGAGAAGTGGACCTGGCGGGGGAGGGTGAGCGGCCTTTAAGACGTTGAGGGCCTCACCCCGCGCATAAACCCCAAGACCACCGGCCTAATAAAGAGGTAGCGAGTGATAGGAAGGAAGGAAGGAAGAAAAAACCTCAAGACACGAAGGAAGGAAGGGAGAGGGAGAGAGAGAGAGAGCAGGGAGGGTACCCAGGGAAGAAAGAGAAGAAAGAAAGAAAGAAAGAAAGAAAGAAAGAAAGAAAGAAAGAAAGAGCAAGCAGGGAGGGTACCTAGGAAAGAAAGAGAAGAAAGAAAAAGAAAGAAAGAAAAAGAGCAAGCAGGGAGGAGGGAAGAAAGAGAGAAAGAAAGAAAGAAAGAAAGAGAAAGAAAGAAAAAGCAAAAGCAGGGAGGGTACCCAGGAAAGAAAGAGAAGAAAGAAAGAAAAAGAAAGAAAGAAAGAAAGAAAGAAAAAAAGAGCAAGCAGGAAGGGTACCCGGGGAAGAAAGAGAGAAAGAAAGAAAGAAAGAAAGAAAGAAAGAAAGAAAGAAAGAAAGAAAGAGAAAGAAAGAGCAGGGAGGGTACCCAGAGTCAACCATACAGGACTCAGATGCCTATACACAGGAACGCTCGAAGTTTAGGGAACAAACAGGGTGAACTTGAAGTACTAATACATGGAGGCAGCTATGATATAGCTGCCATTACTGAAAGTTCATGGGGTGCAACTCATGACTGGAACGTACCGATGGAAGGATATAAACTATTCAAAAGTAACAGACCCAATGAAAAGAGGAAGTGGAGTTGCATTATGTATAAAAGATCACTACATCTCTACAGAAATCCAAAAAAACCACAGATGAAAACCTCTTAGAATCCATATCAGTCAATATAAAAGGAAAAAAGGATTGACATTGCTGTAGGCGTATACCACAGGCCACCCAACCAAGCAGAAGAAATAGACTAACTTTTTGCTAATCAATTAACAAATGTACGTAATAATGGGAGACTTTAATTACCCTGATATCAACTGGGAGACAAACTCTGCAGCAAGTGGGAGATTGAACAGGTTACTGATCAGCCTAGCTGACAACTTTGTCATCCAAAAGGTAGAGGAAGGAACTAGAGGAAAAGCTATACTGGACCTAATTCTTACTGACAAAGAAATGATAGACTGGGATGAAATTGAAGGAACTTTTGGGGGAGATTGACCATGTCACATTGGAATATAGAGCAATAGAACATAATCAAATCAGTGTCTTAGGTTTTAAAAGAGCTGATTTTGACAAACCTAGAGAGAGTTTGGGAAGGATTCATGCATGAAAGTCTTTAAGGAGAAACTAACTCAAGAAGCTTGGGAAAAATATGATTATAAAAGCCCAGCCAGTGCAATACCACTGAAAAAGAAAAATAAGAAATCCAAGAAGAAACCAGCATGGATGCACAAAGAATTTTTCTGATAACCTGAAACATAAAAAGGATAAGTATAAAAAATGGATAGTGGGACACATAACTAAGACAGAATACCAACATAAAGCCTGAATCTGCAAAGCTAAGGATCAGAATGAAGTAAGGTTTGCAACCAATGTAAAAAAATAAGTTTAAAAAGTTAAAAAGCTCAGAGAGCACCAAGGAGCCCTCAAAGTAGACCACAACCTACTTCTTGGTAAACTAGAAAAATGTGGGTTACGCAGCATCACCATCGGATGGATTTGCGACTGGCTGACAAACCACACTCAATGTGGGGTAACCCAAGGTACCAAGGAAGAGATTGGACGACTATTTATCTGGAATGGTAAAGGGTCTCCTGCTTGAACAAGGAGTTGGACTAGAAGGCCCCCAAGGTTCCTTCCAGCTCTGTAATTCTGTTCCCACTATAGTCACATTTCTTCCTTCCTCTATAAAATAGCAGCAGCCAAACAACAAAGAGGCTTAGAATCTGAAAGCGGAAGCTGCTCAATGTTTGATGCTATCTTAAGCAAAAAAACCCAAACTCTGCACACTTCCTGCTTTCCCCAGAGTGAGCATGAGCCACCCACCACTTCTGGAGGGCAGGAGCGCATGACCTCACGTCCCCTCCCCCACCCCTGCAACGAATGCAGAATGGTTGTTTTCTGACAAGGGAAGAGAAGACGAGGCGCATGTCTGCCACCCTTTACTGTGTTGTGGGGCAGTTTTCTCTGCTGCAGCTGGCAGAGGTGGCTGCAGGGCAAGAAAACTCCTCCTCTTTGGTTCCGGATGGCTGCCCTGCACAGCTGTTTTTTCCTAGGCCTCTGGCTGGCTGCTTTGCTCAGACTTCCAAGCCTTTGGGGTTCAGATGTGCTGACCCCTTGACACCCAGAGCACTCTTGATTTTTAGCTGATTTGTTTATATACCCGTATTTATTCGAGTATAACGCGCAAAATTTTCTACCAAAAAAAGAAATCAAAGTTTGGGTGCGCGTTATAAACGAGGTATCACTCTCCTTCACCCCGCCCCCAGCAGCAAGCCAACATCCGCCTGAAACCTATAAACGCCCCCGGAGTCCGGCCCCACCCCTCCCTGGGAATAGTCCTGAGCGGGGGGGGGAAGAGTTTGCTGGAATACCTCTGTGAAAAAGCAGGTCTTTCAACCGAGCATCTTTCAAAGTGGTAGCGTTGAGCTCCTCGGCGGGCATCCTGGGGCGCTTCCTCCGCTCGAGTAAGAGCCCTGCTGCGAGCAGAGCATCGCATCGCTTCGGGCTCCGCGCGCGGCAGTCGAGCAACGCTCGCCCGGACTCCCCTTTGCTCGCCTAGGCAACTGCGTCTTGCCCGCCTCGCCCGGCCGACGACGGGACCCAGCCTTAGAGGCTACTCGGCCCAGCTGCTCCAAACGGCATGGTTTCCGAAGAGTTGCTGGAGAATCAGGGCCGCCAATGGGGAACCGGGAGCGGCAGGGAAGTCCGGGGAGGAAGAACTGCTTCTCCGGGGCCTTTCGTTCTTCCCGGACGGAGGCGGAGCCCCCAAGACGCCTCCCGACCGCCCTAAAGCCACCGGCCCACGGTGCCAAAGTCCCCGCGGCAAGACAAGGCAATGCGGACCGAGGCATCAACGAGCTCCCCGGGGGAATAAACCGCGCGCTCTCCGACTTCAAGGGAGGGAGAAGAGCCACCCGCTCAAACAGAGCGCCGTTTATTTTAAAAAAAGCTGAAGAAGGGAGGGAGAGAAAGTTGGGCAAGGAGCGAGGTTAGTAAGCAAGCCGAAGGCGACAACCGCTCTTACCGACTTCCCGCACGCAACTGCCCTCGGCTGCCCGCTTAGCACTTTCAGCCAAGCCCAGCGGAGAGTTTGCAAAGCTTCTCTTCCCTTCCGCCTTTCTTGCTCCAACGCGACATGTGTCACTCCCGAGCCCCGGGGGCGGGGATTGCGGGAGCCGCTCTAGGAAGAGCCTTGGCGGGGCTCCCTCCCCGCTCTCTGGCTATTGGGAAATGCTTGCACGTGTCCACCGCCGGCGTGTTCAACAACGTTTGTCACTTACAATGCTTGGTCTGAGCCGAGAAAAAGTGAAACAAAATTTTATACCGATTTTTAATCGAAAATTAGGGGTGCGCGTTATACACATGTGCGCATTATACTCGAATAAATACGGTACGTATAGTGAGAATTCCGCCTCTTACAGGTTGTCCTCGACTTACA